GGGTGTGTCTTTTTTTTTTTTTTGTTCTACTTCACATTCCTTGCATTCTCGCAGAACTTTTCTGCGCATAACGTTCGTTCCGCAACCAACTTCTATACATTAGAATGACTTAAAGATGATTTATTTGATAAAGTTTACCAATTATGAATCAATTTTGAAATGAACATCTGTTTTTTTAAGCTAGTTTTTACCTTTTGCATAAGTTTCCTGTGCTCCCAAGAGGATTTCTACACGTTTGTGGTGTTCATTCCAGAATCAGCCTGTAGTTGATTTCTTCCAGGAATGAGCCATTTGATTGTTATACTCTGCCTTCATATCACAGGTCATTCTTCTGTGCAAGTCAGTGACTTACGCATTTCCAGAAAATTTTCGGCGCTGTTGCACATCGTTTGTAAGCACGCTTCTTTGACCTCATCCTAACTTCACTTTTCACGTACAGAGCTCCTGACACTACCTAATTCATCGGTTGTAGTTTAAGACTTGTCTGTCTAGCTTTTCCTAACTTTCTAACATTTTAATATTGAGATTCGTTTTAGTCATCCTGCCATTTAGATAGGCAGCTTCTGTGTCAGCGACTGAAGTAACGAGTATTACAGGCAATGTGTAACTGTGATCTTATGAATCTGAAAAGCTTGACCCAACCCCCGTGCATTTTTTTCAATCACAATCCTCACATTTCTTGACCATTTTCTGGTTTTCTCAGAAATATCTGTTTAGCCACAATCTTTTAGCTGTGTAATTGGGAGTTAGTAATCAGCATTCAGTGAGCTTATGCTTTAGAATAATCTACTTCTAACATTTTATAAACCTTTTTAGCTGCTTCTTAATTGAAAGAATAGTCAAAACATAAGAAGAATAATCTTGAAAAAAAACTCCTACAAAGATAAAGATGGACGGGCCTGAAACATTCAAAGGTGAATCGGCCGAGGTCAGAAATCCCGTACAAAAAAGTGCAGAAAGGATGACGAGCAAAAAAAGCAAGCTTGGAGGTGGGGAACTCTTGAATGCGACAGCGCATTACTTTTTGTTTGTCTGCGACGTCTAGTTCAAAAATCAAGTTTTATTTATTAAAATGCTTGAAGAATGAGCTGTTTAATTTCTGCAAAAAGAAAAAAGCAGTCTATTTAAGTGGATCACTCCTGGAACACGCTAAGAAGTACTAATTAACTGGATCCGGAACTGCAACAGGCCTTTATAGAAGGCTCAAACCAATCAAAAAACAATGTGTAACTCAAAAAAAACTACCGGTGAACTCTAGTCAAATTAGCATTATTTTGTAGGCCATTCTTAAGGTGCAAAGCCTTTCTAAAGTGAACTTTTAGGAACTTCTCTGTAGAAAAATGCGGAAACATATCGATGTGAGGCTCTACTTTCGAAAAGTTGAAGTTGTCGCAGCAGATACACATTGTATTTTAATAAAATCTCCAGCAGCCAGCTGGGAATAGGATGCCATGTAGTTTAAGCATATGGCACTTAACAAGCGTAAAATTACACAATACGGTTCCACTCGCATTAATGATTGTAGCTCGCAAACAGAAATGAAGTCAGGTCGTCTTGCAGAAGGGTACCATTTATCAGTACGGATGATAGGTAACAGCAAAATTATGTACAGATCGCTTATGTTGGCGCCACACTGATGAAAATTCACGCCAAAATTCTGATAAGTTTAAATGCAGATTAAACGTTGATTTTAGCCGTTTTTACTTAGCTATGACTCGGATAGTTCTTTCCCAGTTTACAATGGAGTGATCTCGGTTCCCTTGTATGCAGCTGCTTTAAATAACTACCCAAACATTCCTATTTTTCTGCTGACAGTGACCTCATCAGCATTTGCGGCAAAACTGTTTACCGGAGTTATTCATTTAATGATCTTGATACTGGAAATCTGCTTTTAAATTCTCTACCTTCACAATGAAACCTTATTAAAAAAGCAGTGTCAGCAATACCTAAAAACCACAAACTTATATTTTGATTTACGAACTACTTCCTTCAACAGTTCAGGTTTCCTCAAAAAAATTCAAGAATACGCGTCACCCGGAAATATTCTTGATTTTACAGTGCATCAAATACATCACACTTACTCTGAGAAGTGGGCTCGAACAAGCTAACTCTCATTTGTTAAGGTCAGAGTCCTTTAGTCACAGGCCATATACGTCGTTTTCACTTCAAAATGCAAAACCCTGCTTGCTGATGATTCTTCAATAGCTAGAGCCTGCACTTTGCAAGTAAGCACAATGACTTTAGTACTGTAGCAAACAATGTTCGCATACTGTTTTGACTCGAGAATTGCTAAAATCAGCTCCAGCATTGTTCCCCCGGGGAGCTTCTTTTAGGAAAAGCTTTTGAAGATTTCTGTTTTGTTTTCGGACTTTTTTTTTTTCTCAAAAACTAACTCTCTTTTGCAAGGGAAAGTTTTTTTATGCACGTTTGGACTACTGTTATAGTTTGCACTGCCACGAAAAAACCGTACTATATAATATCGCAAACTGCAGTCACCACTTACTTTCACTTCACTGTTAGGTTCACTATGTAGTATACGTTTCGGCAGTTCACGGAAATTTAGCTTCCAAATCTTTCCTGATGTTTTACTCCACAGGCGACGAATTAGTAGATAAAATTCAGAACCTAAATTTTTGCTTCTGTTATAATTGCGGAAAAAATTTTTTTTAGCGCAAACAATGAAAATGGATTTTGCTTCCTTCATCTGTTTTAGCACATTAATTCTCACTTATTTTTTTCTAGGATTTCTTTACTTTACTAAAAAAAAGTAGTGCTTGTCTTTTCTGAAGTCTTTATTTTTTATATTTCTATTTGAAAGCTACTTTTTCTCGCACAATTTTGCCTCCAAAATCTGTATTTTGCAGTGGCGCAGGCAAATAGTAATTTGAAAGGTCAATTTAAGTACCTGTTTTTGCTTCGGTTTTTTTCCGCTGTATCCATAAATTTTAAGCAATCTTGGTTTTAACATATCTGTTCAATTGCTCTGCAGCATTACTTTTGTTGCGTATCCCTTTACCAAAAGCAAATAAAGAGTCAGACCAAAAGAGATGAAAAATGAAACGCGTACTTTGAGGAATTATGCTGGCAGTAAAAATTTTTAACTTTCTTATTGGTCAAGAAAAGAATGAAACCCGAAACTAGTTTTTCTATGCCATTAGTGGAAGTCCACTTCCCTGAAATAGTTTTCGTATTAATCATGGATTTGGTTCAGGAAAAGAGACGTTGTGGTGTACGGAAAATTTCACTGGCTTCAGTACGTTCTTTCGGACTACCGCGGCGAATATCACAGTTTGGCAAGTCACTGACCATGGATGGGCAACGACGAACACTAGCTGAGACAGAAGATTAGAAATACCCCAAGTTTACTCTTCTACTTGCAGAAGCAATGATAGAGTTCCGACAAATCATGTATTCAATTTTGCTTCGAATTCACCTCTTTTTTTACTTCTGCGTGATGTAACGTTCACTTCACTACCTATTTATAGACCGTTAGGTGACTTTTTTTAATGTAAAGCGCTTTGATATTATAAAATTTATTTCGATAAGGTATTATTTCACAAAAGAATTTTTAAAAACGGGTTCGAATTAATTTTTTTACTATCAATGTTCTCAGGTACTCAAGCTACTCCACTCTAATCCCGTCTATTTTAATTTGTACTCTTTACTATATATGTATTACCAAAGCTGTAGAGTTTTTTGTGATGATCAAATATCTTTTTTCCAACATTTCGCAGCTGTCCTTTACTTGGTTGTACACCATATTTCCTATAAATGTAATTTTTTATTATTTCGTATTTGCACAAATGTTTGAATGAAATGCATCAAAATTGTTGTAATCTTTATATTTGTACAGTTGTTTTTTGTCATCGACGTATAACTTAGCTTTGCAAAATACTAGACTGGTAGGAGAATTGTCACATCTGTGAAGTTTGCTTGATTTGTTGTAAATATGATGTTATTTTGTTAGTAATAGCTGTGAAACTACTTCTTAGAAAATTGAGTAAAGAATATGAGAAGATTTTTATAGTTGTTCATCACTAAAAGATCTTTAATTTATTTGCATAGAACACAGCCTTTCAAGTATATTTTTTTTTGTGATATTTTCATTTTAGATTCTTGTTTCTTTTCTCTAAGGTTTTTTAAAACAGGTAAATATTTCAAAAGCCATGAGAAACAGCACCCTGAAAAATTCTATGTCGTTCTCACGCATATATTACATTTGAGATTGATAGTTTGAAATAAAAGTGCGAAGAGGAACTCTGCTTTCTCACTGTATTTTTACTTTTTTGAAGATGTAATGCAGTGCCTTCATTTTCAGTTAAAACTTTGTTCTCAGCTACTCCTATGAAAGATTTTATTAGCTGCGGCGCACGATTACCTACTTATTGTCGTCGGATCATTTTACAGCAGCAATGTTTTGATCCAATCCATTGTTTTATTAGAGTTTATTTTATCCACGACAGGACCCAACAGTTTCAGCTCGCTGATTAGCACTCTGTTTACTCCACTCCACCAGGCAGGAAGATAGTCTTTTTTAAAAACTAGCTTTTCCTCGGCAAGGTTCTCTTCAAACCAACCTTTTTTATACTCAACATTAGCACCTCTCAGTTAAGCAGTTTATCAAGAAAGTGTTACGGGTCTTGCAATATTATGGTTGCACGTCAAATTTGCAGTCAAGTAACATATACGACGTAAATATTCATTAATTACTAAATATATTAAGGGAACTGTAAGACAAAGTCTGAACAAGATAAAGTCTTTAGTGGTGTTTAAGACCATTGGTCTTTGATTGGCCCATTCTGCCTAGTAAACTATAGTCTTTACATTAAAAAATCTCTTTTACATCGAATTTAAAATTTTCTTACTGTCTGACAAAATTTAGATCAGCTAAATCGCAAATAAGCATTTTCTATCTGGTACTTTTGGAAGCTTCCATCTTCCAATTTGTATCATCTTTCCAAATTGAATTCACATATTGCGGCCTGTTAAATTTGTCTTTTTTCTCAAGCCATCTTTTCTTATAACAACTAATTCTACTCTATCGAGGATTTGGGCTTTTTAGAAGGCATGCTGCAGATCAGTGACTCAAAGTGCGATTGAGTCAGAAGTCGCCATAACAGTTTTCAAGCTGGCCCGCTTAACAGAATTATTCGCCACTCAACCGTAAGTAAAATATAATAAAAGATTACCAATCTTACAGTACAGGAAACCTTTTGAAATTACGTGCTTTTCATTATCAATTACTCAGTAAAAATACTTTGATCAAATGTCGCTGCCATCCTTATCGTTAGCACCTCGGTCTACAGCAATTTCGCTGTCGCTTAAATGTTAATCAAGTAACTTGTGCTGAAAGTATAAACTTTTAAGAGCGGCATTAGCAAGTAACAAAATACTTTAGAGAAGTGTCGGTAAAGTCCACTGATAGGCAACCTAGTTGAGTTGTCACGAAGTAATGAGTAAGAGGATAGTGGTAGGAGGGGAGAAGAGGAAAAATACGAATTCATAGAAAAAATTTAAAATTCATAAGTAAAAACTTACACCTACTTACTACAATTAGTATAGTTTGTAGCCTAATTGCCAAAAACTGTTTTGAAACGCCACTGACAAGAAGAAGATCAGCGAAGACTGAATAACTGAAGAGACTATCGAGCAACAAATACAAAGAAATAGTAAACAAAGACTAAGAGTCGATGAATAAAAAACATGTGTTTGAAGACTTCACCTAATGGCATCTCCAGTTTCTGCTTATGGTCCTTTACTTTTTTTTGTCATAGTGAACATCGCTTTTCTTGTGAACCTCATAAATGTTTCAATTCCTGTAAGTAAAAGCCATTATAAACGATTCAATTTGTAATCTTTTTGATACTGTGAAATATACTGGACTGGGAGGACAGAGAATTAATGATGTGGAGAATTAATGACGGTTTGATGTTACTGTAAAACTCCAGATGACATTTCTTTCCTTTAGAATTTTATAACAGTCAAAAACTGTAAAGTGAATTCCAGTGATGAAATAAAAAACAGGGGAAATGGAACTCTAAACAGTTTTTCAGAATTGGTCGTTCTAGTATGGTACTATTGTCTGTCCAAAGTTGGTGGAGGGACTAAACTTTGAATCTGTGATGGGAGTGATAGCGTTGTATAGTGAGAGGACCTCCTAGTAAACCTCCGTTCGTTCTCTTTGTTGATTTTCCCGCTGCCCAAAGAACATTTAATGGGCTTCGCTATCTGAATTGGTAATCTGTTAAATATCACGTATCTGTAAATATGTGTGTCATATTGATGTTATGTGTGGTAACTATAACAATTCTATGAATATCGGAACTTTTGCAGATGCCGTTTTGAGAGAACCGTTGCGTTCAAAAACTTTTTAGGTTAACTGGCTTAAATGTGCTATCAAGCAAGTCATAGCCTTTGAAAAACCTTTTTCAGTAGCTTTTTGTCTCTTGTTTTTGTTTTTCTTTCCATTGTCGTAATCGTTTCTGTCTTTCTCATTGCTTTTATCATTTAGATTTTCGTCTGTTTCGTCAATTTTGGCGCTAAGTTGTGCAGAACTTTTGCTTACTGAAGTGCATGCTGACCGTTCTGGAACTCAACTGTAGATTTGATTTTTGGATGAAAGTTGTGTCATTTGGAAGCTACCGTGTAATTTGCCAGCTTAGTAGAAGCGTTTGGTCGTAGAGAGGAATGGAAGTAGTATTCCATGTTGTTTTGGCTTTCTGTGAAGTGTAGTTGATGACCTGCAACGGCAAAGCGCTACTTTTCTTGCTGAATGTTTACTTATGTTTTGCTCTCCTTTTTCAGGTTTACTTTTTGATAACTACTTTGGCTCACTAATGGCTACCGAAATTGTAATAGATGAATTAATTCTAGTTGAAGCAGTACCAAACACAACATTATATCCATTGCCAACTTACGAAGACCGGTTAGTTGATGAGATAATGCGTTCTATTGATAAAAAATTCTAATTTGTCTTTTTGCGAGCTG